GTTCTAGATTACCTCCTGCCCTTTCTAATCTTTCCTTACAGGCTAGATTATCTCCTGCCCTTTCTAATCTTTCCTTCACAGGTTCTAGATTATCCCCTGTCCTTTCTAATCTTTCCTTTACAGGCTTTAGATTATCCCCTGTCCTTTCTAATCTTTCCTTTACAGGCTCGAGATTATCCCTGCTCTTTCTAATCTTTCCTTCATAGGTTTTAGATAATCTCCTGTCCTTGCTAATGTTGTTAATGTCATCATGAACAAAATTGTCCCCAGAAATGTTTTGTTCCAGAGGCATAAATGCCCCTTATGGATTTTAAACCCCTTAACATGTTAATAAACTTGCTCATTGTTTAAACAATAAACATGTGAATATAGACACATCGCAGAAAATCAGATTTCTGTTTTTTTTTCTTCATGATATTGTATTTGAAAACTGTGGTTATATGTTATCGTAAACCTATGTTTTTCTTTGGAAGTTATGCGCACTTCGATGGTTTCATTTCGAAAACCTTGTGAATATCTTATTCCACATGCCTTCAAAATTTGTTAAAGTTTGGAAACTGACGGAAATTACAACAGAATAACCAGTTATCCGTTATATCTTATTTCTAGCTTTTTTCCTTAAATCAATCAATCAATCAATGGTACATCTCCGCAGCTTAGTCTTGCCTCTATTTTCACATTATTTGTCGTTCGACTTTGAATTATCCTGATGTGAAAATGAAGAGCAAAATGGTTAAAATGGGTGGACATATCTACGGTCAGTACTGTCCATAGGAAGTGAGGGAGAGATGTCCCAGGCACGGGCATTCAATTTGGTTGCAAAGTCGAGAAGAAGAACCAAATTTGGAATTTTCAAAGCTGTCCACCAGGTTCTAAACCTGAACTCATAGGAGGCACAGATGGCTTCGGGTATGTATGATGATCTTCAACTGGTGTTTCTGAGAGTGAATAAGGACTCTATAGGATACCCAGACTGTTGCTGATTATGGCAGCCCAACCATGGCAATTCTCACGTTTGATAAACCAAAGGATACTGGAGATGATACAGGTGGATTAAGTTCACTATTTGAAACTATGTCGCTTCCAGGAGAGACCGTGAGCACTGAGTGGTGAAGATGGTGTCCCAAGGGGAGACAGCAGCTTCTCTGACATAGAAAGCATGCTGTTAGAACTACAAAGAGTCAGTAAGAACCCTGGGGTTGTGCAAAACTGGAAGACGAGTTCCTTAGGGCAGCTCATCATTCTACTACCCAGAAGCAGAAATTAACCATAAGTTCAAAATACGGGCCCCTATACCATACTCTTGACACTTTAGGTATTTCATCCTGGTGGTGGCAGAGAAGCCAATTGATATATCTTGTTTCACAACTACAGATCTCTGTTAGTAAGGTTAAGCAGATTTTTCCTAAACTGCTTCCTTAATTGTTTCAGGCAGGTTACTGTGTGGAATAAGTGGACTCAAGAACAGGTGGAAGACACCCGATTTGGATTTTTAATGGACCATTACTTGACTCAGTCAAACGTTTGGATAACGTAATGTCTGGGACAGAGTCATAGCTGAGTTGTAATGATGTTTGACCTCGTGGAAAACCAAGTTATGGCCAGGAACGTAGGTAACAAATGTGCTCTGACAGACTTGATCCTATTAATTAAGTATAGATTGGTTAGTTCTATCAGTCTATAACATAATATCACCTGAATAAGTAGAAAATTCACAAATCCCTTTCTGTCATTAAGATGAAGTGTTTGATGTTTCGTACAGTAGTCAGTTTTGATTTGCTGTTTTCTTGTAGGTAAAGATTGATTCTAGCTTTGCTTAATATTGTATTCAGTCTCTTTTCTCCAATATAGTCAAATTGAATTTCAGTTTAATTCCGAATTATATTTTATACTGTTTCTCCAGTTACCTTTGGTTGCTATCCTTATCTGTCAAGCTATCGGTAAGCCTCAGAAAACCCCACCCTCAAATTAAAATATGACAAGTTTTTCAAGCTAGAAGTATGACTATGTATTTTTTTTTCACTATTGAGGATGCTACTCCAATATACAAGTACATAATTCTGCACTATTACCCAATATGGCTACTTTGGTTTAATCAGCACATCAAAGAGCAGTCCAACATAAATACTGATTTCACATCCAATATTCTTAATCATATTTTTAAAGAATTCTCATCAAATTGGGCGCGAAAACGAGTTCTAAATTAACATGACTCAGATATAGATGAAAGGATGCTGAGGATTGAAAAAACATATTATTAAAGAAAGAATGGAGTTAAACCAAAAAGCCTAAGCTTCACCAGTACTTTTCGAACTACAAGTCTGTAAGAGGAAAACTAAAACTTTGTAATTTAACATTTATATATTATTACCTATCTGTAAACGCATGTACTTCTGGCTTTCCATTGGTTGAAATGAAAAACAGCACGAAATTCTTTACATTTGTTAATGAGTCAGTTCCCCAATGTCATATGTAATATAAATTGGATAATTACAGAGGATTGAGTGCGTTATATTAAAACAAAATTGAATATGCAAATCAGCGAGCCACTTGAGTCGATATAAGATCGCGTTGAAACGGAACATAAAACATCGCAAATACATTTTGAACGGCATGTATCAGAACTACATCTTGACATTGTTTGGCGTTATGTAGATGGTGTGATGCCACCAAAAATTGATGGCTTTTGGGAAGGGTATGTAACATTCCTTTATGCTGCAATATCTTCATACACTCAGATCATAAAGATGTGTTTAGATCGGGGATTTATAATTTACAAGACGAAGATATCTCTTGTACTTATTGGCACTGGAAAACATAGGAATATGGATCAACTTGGTGTACCAGGATCCTCTGGAAAGGGAACTGTAACAAATCATATCCCAGTCATACTAAGAAAAATGTGGTTGAGGTCTTGTAACAGGTGAGAATCCACGAACATAAAGGCCAGTATCCCAGGAAAAAATACACAACATAATCAAGCAGGATCTCTGTCTGGAAAAGCAATAAAAGTCACGTGTACACAAACTGCTTCCACGACCTACCAGTTTAACCCTTACATACCTCAAGCAGCTGGAGAATGAAATGAAAATTCTTGCTATTCCAAACGAGGACATACCAGTCATGATGTTGGAAGCAGTACCTATGGCTTTTTATGCCACTGGACTGTTTAAACTGAAGCTGAGAAACCTTCATTTTCTCATACAGTGGATGGATTTTGGAAATGTCAGGGAGGAAGGTTGTCGTCAGTTAGGGCATCATCAGACCTCGCGACATTGAGTGTAACGACAAGGTGAGACTTAGTGTTGATATATCTGTATAAGTAACGACACATTATATTCACCTACCTTCTTTCTCTGTGAGATGGATACTAAGTTAATATAAACTGATTTGGATCATGAAACATTCAAGTGTTAATTAATGCTATAAACGTCATGTATTGAGCTGCTACTGGAACGCCATTACGCTATTGAAGAGGCAGACATTCAGTGTTCTTATTATTTTAGACTATACCAAACGTACCAAATATGTCACAATGTTCTTATTTAGTATATAAGGACTACAATTTTCACGGCGTGGTTTAACAAACTGAAACCAGTCTTTGATTAAAATAGCTTCTCAAATAAAAATGTGCTGGAACTGGAATTATGGGTAATGTTGTGAATCGTATCTTTGAATTCTCTGTTTTAACACACAATAAATTTTTCAAAAAGCAAAATAACAACGTTTGCTGTCTACTATATAATATTGACTATTGATTAGCCCTGATGAGCTCCTTTTTTCTTCGGATGACTCGTTCGGCTAAAGTTCAGAGAATATCAATTTCTATATTGAATATATATTTTTGATTTTAAGTAAGGCTTCTAAAACGACACTTAATTGCTATTATATTTCTATGTCGTCTATTTCCTTTTCCTTATCTTGCCATGAATGCCTCGAGACGAAGTTATAATCTATTCGCCAAGCCCTCTACACGTAATGAATATCGTTAAACAGAGTATTAAACCACGCCCTTCTTTTAATTTTTTTTTCTAATATTTTTTCTTTTGAGTTACAGTACAAATCAAATGTGGGCCAGAAACTTAAAAGTCAAAAAGATCTAAAAATCTCACCGCGTATTCCGAAACGAGAAAATAACCATTTTTAATATATCCACCCCTTTTGAGTAGTTTCAAATTTGATTGATGTTAGCTTATTGAGATTTTCTTAGCCAAGAACCAGCTGACAGAAACTATGCACGATGTTCACAAATCATTCATCAAATTTTAATACATCACAAAGTCGCGTGAGGTAACTCGATAATCCTATAACAGTACTGTAAGATTACTAGTCAGATGAAAGTATTTACTGAGCAAGAAAATGCGAACTGCAACTGTGTCGCAACGTTCAAAGTTTGCGCAGGGTAACGCAAAGGTAATGTGAGACTTACGACATTTACAAGTTATACATCACTGTTTAAAACATCACGAAGTGGTAATTCAATAAAGAATTTCCGCGGAAATAAGTCAATACCTTTAAATTACCTAAAATTGCTAGTATCACTGCTGCATGTATTTAAAACGATAATTGATTGAGAGAGAGAAAAAAAGTGTCTTCTCACATGCAAAATGTGACAAATCTGTCTTCTTAGTTTCAGAGACTTCATAACAAAATGGACCCCTAACGACGAGACATTCAATCTATATATCCGTGTATACAGTTATAACGCGAAATCTAGCAGATATGTCAGCTTATCGTAAGCAACTGCATGAAGTTTCAAACAAGATGCATAAGTTGTAAGATACGATTAATTAATAAGTTGATTCTAAGGATAAAGTCGAGAGATAAGCCAGTACTAAGGATAAAGTCGAGAAATAAGCAGTACTAAGGATAAAGTCGATGGCTTATCTCTCGACTTTATCCTTAGTACTGGCTTATCTCTCGACCTTATCCTTAGTAGTGGCTTATCTCTCGACTTTATCCTTAGTACTGCCTTATCTCTCGACTTTATCCTTAGTAGTGGCTTATCTCTCGACTTTATCCTTAGTAGTGGCTTATCTCTCGACTTTATCCTTAGTACTGGCTTATCTCGTACTAAGGATAAAGTCGAGAGATAAGCCACTACTAAGGATAAAGTTTTGATCTTAGCATTTTACAGTACTAGTTTTCTTCATTTCAAATCCGGGTTTCGATACCCGTAGTGGGCAGAGCACAGATAGCCCATTGTGGAGCTTTGTGCTTAATTACAAACAACAACAACGTATTAGCGGAGCAAACGACGCTAAAATATTCAGATCAAAAACCAAATTAGCA